TGGGCTGAGTGATACTAGCAATAACAGCATTGTAAGAGGGGGACAGTGTAACACAGAGGCCTCTGCCCCTGTTTAATGATGGACGGTTTCACAAACATGGCTTCCTTCACCTCTCTCAAACCGTCTTTCCTCTCTATCAAGGATGTGAACATCTTCAACGATCCATTGTTAGGCTGATGGTCCTCCTTGATCATCTGGACAGCTAGTTTTGAATGTCAACAACAAACTGGTTGATCCACTATGAGAACGTGATATTTATAAAGACTGAGCTGAGCTCCTCAGACTGAAGAAGTATTTCGGATGAAAGATGAAACATTTCTACTTTTTTATTTTTAACCTGTCCAGGGGTCCTGACTTAACTTTTTTTTTTCTACCTGGATTATTGAACATGCATCAGGATGTCTTATTGATCCATATTTTCCTAACAGAACACTTCACTCCCACACAGCAGGTTTACTTGTGGTTCCTAGTGTTTCTAAAAGTAGAATGGGAGGCTCCTCTTCTGCAGAAAACAGATGCTGCTCATGAAGTGGACTTCCTGTATATTTTTAGAACTAACAATATATTTTTTATTTTGATAAATCCTATAGTTAATGTTGGTGGGGTTCTTTAGCTATCCTTTAGTTACGCTGCTCTAGGCTTAGAATACTGGTGGACAAACTGAGCACATTTCCTCACCGATGTCTTTATTCTCTCTATGTTCTAAGTTTATACAAGTAATTATTGCTGTCATTAACTTGTTTTCTTCTCATAGGAACGACACCTGGACTAGTCATTCTGTGTTTGTGTCTATTTCCTGTCCTCTCAAACCAACCAAGGCATGGCTGCTCATCCTGAGCCTGGTTCTGCTGTAGGTTTCTCTGTATTGAAAGGTGTTATTTCTACCATCACCAATGTGCTGCTCATTAACAAAGTCAGTACATTTCGTAATGGACTGTATGTGAATTTATTGCATTACAATAGGAATGAATCGACTTGGATTCTGGTTCTAATTTGGATTAATGGTATGAACTTGTTTGAAGATGACACTATTAAAAATTCCTACCATTAACCAATCATTTTGTGTTTCTGCTTTTACTTCCCCTTTCTTTTTCTTTTTTACTTTTCCTTCCCCATAGTGCCATGAGAATGTCAGTTTCTTGTGCTGAATATGTTAAATAAAATGTGCAAAATGTGCAGTATGAGACATAACCCTTTCGTGCAATCAAAATTAAATCAAGGGTGCTATGAACAATGGTTTGGTTCAAGACATCATGCATAGTATTACACGTATGGAGTGTATGGGTGGCTGCATGGTAACAGTCTTTGATTGGACACCGCTCAGACCTATATATCCTCCACCCCATCACATTGTCTGACTGTATCAACCAATCACAACAGCAGCTCAAAAGTACATTAGAGCTGCCATCAGATTGCCATGTGCCCTTCATCCACATACACCACTGATACCATTACAAAGTACACTTCCAAAAACTCAAATTTTAACATGAAACTATTGAAAAAAGGCAAATTAATACACCATTTGTGTGTATACAGAACTGGGAGTTCTTTAGCAACAGGCTAAGTCACTATGGCAGTATGCATAAGGGATGATCATGCAGAAAAAGAGAAGGAAGTGCAGCACATGGTAAGCACATGCACTGCATGAGTAAAAAAAATCAGAGCTGTAAGAATATGCAGAGGAAAAATCAAGAGGAGGGAAGAAGAGAAGGAGGGGGTGACACAGAGATACAGTAGGTGGGAGGGATGTGAGGAAAGGATGGGCTGACCCAGTTAGAAGTGCTGCATCACTTGTGGATCGACAGACCACAGAGGAACCAACGCAACACAAAGGAGTCAGAGATTAAAAAAAATAAATAACTGAGTGGAGGGAAACTAAAAGAATATTCTGTTAGGCTCCATTTTAGTGGGTTTGTTGCTTGCATTATATGCTGGCTGCACAAGTGAACAGTTTAAACCATCTTCACGCAAACACAGCAAAAGATGATCAAAAACATGTGAAAATCATATTACATGTGGACATGGTCTTAAAGAGCAGCTTATGGCTTTGATACACAGACTTTTTTTAATGATCAAATGCTTTTAAGCAGATAAGAATAAACATGTTTACTGGGACACGTTCCCTTCATGCTGCCTTCATGAGTTACACAGGTGATGCTTTCACAAGTGTTGATATACAAGCTCTCTGACTGCATTCCCAATTTCTAAACTGTTCCAGCAGTTTGGTTGTGAATGTCCATTCATCCATCCATTATCTTTACCTGCTTCTTCCTTTCCGGGTCATGGGGGTCGCTGGTGCCCATTTCCAGTGGTCACTGGATGGAGGTGGAATATATTCTGGACAGGCCACAAGTCCATCAAATGGATAAAACAGATTAAATCACTGGTCAAGTGGTACTTTTTGATGTATTCCACATGTGCAGTCTGTTAGTGGTAATATACTGCATTTAAACCCACAATATTCCCTGTAGATGCTGCGGCCATTTGTGATTCTTGCAGCTTAGAGCTGAAAGATCTGATTGCAACTCTCCTGGATTTTTTTTTTTTTTTTGGGGGGGGGGGGGGGGGTAAGAAAATAAGTTTATATTTCTTATATGTTGGTTGTTGTGTTTGTTTGTGTTGTTAAGCAGGGGGGGGGGGGGGGGTAAATAAATTGCATTATGGCAAAATTTCCCTAGTTTTATTTTATTTTTTACTTTTGATGACACCACAATGAAAAAAGTAATAATAAAAAAAAAAGTTTTACCACTAGAGTGTGCCACATGCTGAAATATTGCAGCCCTGACCCTTCAGTCGTTCTCACCAGGCTACACAGGGATTACAGTGCAAGTCATGCCGACTGAAGTGCGGCTCAGACTGTGCTGGGCTGGCACCAAACCCAGCAAAACCACGCAGAACCTGCTGCTGTCTGTCCCAGTTTGCACCTGAAACACCAGTGTTATGTAAATGCAACAAGTCAGTTTAAAGCAGCTGCTTCTTGAAACTAGACTCAATGATCTGAGGGATCAGCTCTGCTGTAATGTCTGACCTCCAAACCTCTCAGAACTTCCTTATTGCCTCGACCGATCAGTCTCCTCAGCTCCTTTCACTTTTCCTCTTGGTCAAGAACAGGAATCGGCAGTCTTCATGGAGACGCACAGACACGGACGTACTGTAGGTGACCCTGCAGCAATACGTCCGAGACAGATATAAAAACATTTTGATGCCATCATCTTGCATGAGAGTGTGCAATTTGTAAGGGAACGTGGAAGAAGTGGATGTAGGCCAATGTTTCTACTTCAATGGCTCTGCTGAGAAATAAGTTTCTAAGACAGGTTCATTAGATCTGTTAGGTCTCCTCTGTGCATCGGGCTCAACAGTTTCAGTCCATCATACCCTGCTTTTATTGCATTACGAACTTTGCGCTTTAATTGCTCTGTTCCGACTTCTGAATAAGGTTTCTATGATATGGTGGTTGCACTCACCACCCTGGCATCTGTTGCCAGGATACACAGAGCAGAGAGTAATAGTTGTGTGGGTGAGTGAGCAGGTGAGGGCCCAGAAGACCGAGGCATGGTACATAATTAATAAGTGGGCCTGAAGTATCCCTGCTGCTTCTTGGTGTCTCTGCCTTAAATGGACCTTGTGGTATAATTGGGTTGCACCTGGAAGATAATCCTTTTCTGTGTGCTTATTTTAATTGTGACACGTAATTAAACCTTTACTAGTTGGTGGTGCAGCTCTGTCAGTGCCATGACGGCCAGCACATGAAACCTGTTCAGTGATGCTCAGAGAAGCAACAAGGTCACAATAAACCAGCAGACAGTTTTTGAAGCAGCTCAGCCAGACTTTGTTTTTACATAAATAATTAAGGGTTTAATCTGCTAACCCATTTTTTATCACTTGCCACTAAAAGGCGATAAAGTTTTTGCCCATTTGAATGAAACTAAAAAAAGTTATCATTGAATGCCTCTACTACTTATAAACTTTTGGACTCAGCTGCAAAGACAGACCCAATAAAAGACAAAAAAAAATGTCTTTACCTCTCAGATTTACAGATGGTGAGCTAAAATCTGATGTGGTAGTAGTAGATTGTGCAAGTGATGCTTAAAATATTTTCTATTCAGCATTTGCAGTCAACTCTACTTGTCCGTTAGTAAATTAGACATTTTTGTTTTAGAAATTTTTGAAGACATCGTCTTTGGATATACATCTGCAACTGATTTTTTGGAGTCCAACCAATTCAAAATGGCCGTCACAGCTAATTGACACAAAAACGACTATAAAGCTCAGTGAATTTGACAAACAGTGGGATCAAATCTGACATGGTAATAATGATGACAGATCTCCAACACATACTCTGCATATTACAAATCCTAATACCATATTTTTCGCTATATAAGTCACAGTCTTTTTGCATATATTTGCATGCCTGCAACTTACACAGCAAAGTGACATCTTTTGTGTTTTTTCCCATATTTATAATCCAATTTTTGGCTGAGATCTGACAATTTCATTCATTCTGACATGGTAAATATTGAACACTACCATTTTCAGCCACTAGAGGTCCCTTGACCAGTAAGGCAAGTAAAGTCATTAATATCCAACAATTTTCAGTCAGGTCATCTGGACAGTATGACTGACTGAAAATTGTTTGATTGTATACCTGGATTATTGAGCATGGACTTTATGTTATTTTTTGTCTCATTAACAGGTAATAGTGGCTATAAAATGAAACACTTGGCTTGCCTTATAAAGCCACTGTCGTCTCGCTCCCGAACTCCTGGAGCAAAACTTCAAATCAGCTGCATTTCGCTGCAACACCCAGGCAAAATGCAGCTGATTTGACTATTAAAGTGCATTTATTAAGGACAAGTTAAACCGAGATGCACTTTGCTGTAATTTCGAGCAAACAAATAATTGTTTTTAGGTCGTTAGCGTATTAAATTTTGAAGAAATGCACAGCCAGTCCTCCCATACACGCTCCCGTGGCCGTGAATCGGCCTTTAGCAGTTGATTTGACCGTCAAAGTGTATTTATTAAGGAAAAGTTCAACTGAGACACACCTTTGATATAATTTCGAGCAAATAATTGTTTTTAAGCGTTAATCTTGTTTAAGTCCTCCCATGCACGCTCCTGCGGCCTCCATTTGGCAGCCCATCGATTTTTGGCACACCAGCCCACATTTTCGGGTGGTCAGCGGTGACGCATAATAGATGCAACTTATACGACGAAGTGATGCATCCCCCCCCCCCCCCCCCACACACACTTTATTAAACATATTTGGACTGATGCGACTTATACAGCGGCAAGTACGGTAATTGCATGCTAGGCCTGCAAATTATCAAAAGCTTCTCATGCTGCCTGCATGTTTTCCTGCAACATAAAGGAACGCAAGCAGAAAGACTGAGAAGAAAGAAAATACTGCAGAATCTAACCTCACTTCAAATCCTGACGTTTTCACATCATCGCACTTTTCCTTCCTTAAAAGCACACAAAAAAATAACATGCAAAGAAAAAAGTTATAATTACAGGTTTTTTTATTTCATTACGCTGCAAACAATGACATCCAGATATATATGATACACAACGTTTACTCTGTGTGTGTGTGTGTGTGTGTGCATCTGAGTGTTTGTAAAGAGCAGTGAGACCACAGAAAGCTGAATAAAAATCCTGGAGCCCTGGATGAATTAACAAGGCAAAGACAGAGAGCTAGAGTGTTTGTCTGGAGCAACACACATAAAAACACACACACACAAACCTCATAGAAAGTTTCCCTCAGTAAACCACACGTTTAGGGGCTCGTGCCTGTGCTCACAGCAGCTTACGGATCACTACGACCCGGTGAACGTCTACTAGAACTCGTTTGTTAAAAGAGATGAAGTTATGAAGGACACAGTAGGCGAGAAGCTTTGCCAGCTCTCTCATCTCACCATCAGAGCAGAGGTAGTGGAAAGGTTCTCCTGTCAAAACACACTCACAACGTATACACGTATGTACACATGCACTCGCCCAACCTCTTGTGATTCAACTAAGAAGCTGCTTGATTATTTTTATTTATTTGTTTCACCCTCTTCAGGACACTTTTTTTTGGCGCCGTCTTTCCTCATACCTTCATCACGATAAATGCCGTGACACATCCCAAAAAATGGAGACATGGAGTAAAACAGAACTAAACAACCTAACCCCTTCACCCTTCAGGAAGGGGTACAATGAGTTTCTGTGCACGGTCAGCACAGAAATATTTACCCTTTGACTCGATGGGAAGTTATGACAACAGCATGTTTATTTTGCAGACCTAACAGTGTTTGTAGTTGGAATCACCATGCAAAGCTGCTTCTCGTCGTTTGGAGTATGTCGGAGATCGTGTGACATTTATTTAGCGTACCCTACATCCAGAATCATTTACACAAAAAGGACAATAGTCATCCTAATAGGGCCGGAGCAATGTAGGGAGGAGAGGGGACAAGGGACAGCGTCTTGGTCAACTATGGTTTTGAGTGCGAGGGGTGGGGAGGCTGGGCGTCAGGACAGAGGGAGGAAGCTGCTGGGAAGCATGAGGATGGGGACTTTTTTTTTTTCTTTCTTGGAATTGGTAGAAGCAGGGCAGGACGAGAGACGGTGGTAATCTCAGCGGCACTCCCAGACTTTCACTGACTGATCAACGCTGCCTGTGACCACGTAGGGAGCAGACTTATGGAAATCTGCAAAACGGGACAAATGAAAACGTGTTCAAGCATGTTTGCAGAAATGATCTTAATACCAAGTACACAGAGACCATTTCAGGTTGGATTCTTTTTGTTGCATTCATAAACTGTGCCTCACCCAGAGACGTAACAAAGTGTTCGTGGGCAGACAAAGTCTTCATGCAGCGTTTGTTCTTGTAGTCCCAGATCCTAAGGGTTTTGTCATCAGCGCAGCTCACTACAAATCGTCCTCCGGGATGAAACAGCACCCCACGCACCCAGTTGTCATGTCCCACCTAGATACACAGGACTGATTACCCACCACGCTCTCAGCAACATGAGCCCGTCATGAAACCAACACGTATACAACTCACCAGAGTCATAAGGCAGATCCCCGTGCTGACGTCCCACATCTTAATCGTTTTATCTCTGGAGCCAGAGAGAAGAAAGGGACCGGGTTTTCCACTCTTTTTATTCTGAAAGAAACGGAAAGAAGCATGACAACTGTATCAAAGACAACAGTGTAGTTTGTCATAATGAAGATTATTTTGGGGGAATTCAGTATTAACATTTAGTCATAACAGCTTGACAAAAACTAGAAAAGGATTTAAAAAAATTGTACTTCACTACATCTTGTTTTATTTACATTTTAAACAGCCTTTCAGATTATTTGAAGAAAAATAATATGTCAAGTTTGTGGGTCGCTCTGAATAATTCAGACATTGTATTAGGATTTTCAATATCTTTCAAACTTCAATAAGCAAAGATAATTCTTTGTTGCATCTATGTGTTACAAACGTCAACAGCAGTTAACTCAGGAAACACAGTTTGCTCTCTAAATGTCTGGAAGCTGATTCTGCATTTCACCATAATCTTCAGGAGGTGAGCGTCACGTTGTGCAGCAGTAATTCTTACCTCTAAGCCTGTGGCATCCAGGATGGTTGGGTGAGCGCTGTCAGGAGCCCACGAAATACACTCCACCACATGCTCGTGCTCCCGCAACTCAGCTTTACACTCCTTGGAAGCAACCACCCAAACACGCACCGTCTGGTCGTTGGAACAGCTAGCGATCAATGAGCCGTCTTGGTTTGGACGAACCATCCTCACCCACTCCCTGTGGCCTGCAAATGTCTTCACACAGTACCTGCAAGGAAACCCACAAAGTTACTTACAAAAAAATAAATAAAAAAAACATACAAATAAACGTCAAGCAAACAGTTGATACCAAAGAGTCTTATCTTCCTCACTTACCCAGTAGCCACCTCCCACATCTTGATGGTCTTGTCTCTGGAAGCAGACACTATGTGGTCACCATTTGGCATGATGGCTACAGACGAAACATTGTGATCATGGCCTGAAAGACAAAGTCCAATATTTAATTTGCATCACCGCTCCGTGTTCATTTTCATACTTAAACCACACTGCCAGTCAAGTGAGTTCAAAATAAGCATCCTAAAACATTTACAATAACTAAACAAGACTAAAAATCAGATATAAATAATTTCTTTTTTACTTAAAAGTTTAACAGTTTGCTCTCAAATTTATAACGAATATTTGCACAATATGACCCTGATTAAACTGAAGATAGAAAGGTTTGGATGAACTGCCTAAATACTTGTACATTCTTACAATACTTTCCCCACAAAGTTGAATAATGGCAGAAAAACAAGGTCATAAATAAAAAACTGCAAACGTTAACATTTGTGAAACAGAAACTTCTTTCACAGCTGTTTCTGTACAATATTTTTTTTTTCTATAAAATGTCCTCACCATGCATTGTTCGGATGCATTCAAACCCCTGAAAGTCCCAAAGTTTGATGCTCATGTCAGCTGAACATGAAGCCAGCAGCTTCCCTGTGTGGTCAAACGAGATGTCCTGCACAGAGTCTGTGTGGCCTTTGAGGGTCCGCTCAAAGTCCCCAGCTTCATAGTCCCACACCTACAATCACAAAGAGAGCAAACAATCAGTGAGCCAGCTACGTCTCTAATGATCAAACAGAACTAAATCATCCTCTGACCAAATTTGAATAAACTGGTTAAATTTAATAGCAGCCAGTGGACTTCATCCAGTTACACACAGGTTATTGTTTAACAATAACAAAAGGTTAAAGGATTACTGAAAACAGACTATAATGTACATATACATTTATATACTGTTTGAGTAAAAGAGGGAACTGGAGCAGAAGAACAAAAAGGGAAGATGAATGCAGGCAGTTGAACAGAGGATTAAAAGCTAAACTCTAAACACTAAATAAAAAAGAGCAGCTTCAGATCTACAGCTTTGAACTGAGGGGTCAGAGCTGAAAAAGCAAAAATAAAAGATTTCTTAAGATTGTCTTTAGTGCATTCCGATAGTGACCAAGTGCACCAAGTGTAACTGAACTGAAAACATGGCCTTCAGCAGGTGGTATAATGGGATACACCAATGAAAAGACCAGTAAAGTGTATTGAAAACACTGGCACACACCTTGATGGTAGCATCTTCAGAGGCTGTGACCATGACATTGAACACAGGATGGAATATGACCCGTGTGACTGGAGCACGGTGCCCACTCAGGGCGTATCTCTCTGGGGGACGGGGGATCCACTCCTTGGGGTCCCTCTTCTGACCCACGGGTCCTCCGTACGTTATGTCCTCCTTCACCTCATTCAGCTTTGATTCCAACTCCATTACCTGGACAATCAAGATATTTCAGAACATGTTGAAGTGTTTCTTCCTACAATTAAACAATAATTCACTGATTTAATTAAAATTATTATTAATTTTATAAACGTCCATCACATATCGGGAAGAAAATGGTGACATCAAGTTGTTTAAAGGATTAATTTCATATCACGCATCGTCCATGAAGGAGCCACTACACACGTTTGTCTCTTGCATATACAGCGATCAACAAAAAACAAACATCTAGACCAATTTTAAATATCAGTAAGTTCTGACATTCCTTACCTTCTTCTGTAATCTGATAACAGAGGTCCATTTCTTTTCCAAAAGCCCAGCATATTTCTTATCTACTTCTTCATTCTACAACCAAAGCAGACACATTGAAAACGACTGCCCCCACTTTATTATCATTATTATTGTGATTGTGCACTTGTTTCTTCTTACTATATCTAATTCTGCTTCTTTCTTGAAAGTGGAATAAGCCTCCTCATATCCATTAGAACGTAGATAGTCAGCTATAGCACGATTTCTAAGAAAAAAAACAGAACAAAACCAGGGTTGTTAAAAGTTGGCTGTGCTATTTTAACTCAACTTCACATACTGTTTTCACAGATGCTGTACTGAAGCTCTACTGCAGACAAACATCAAGTCACAGCGTTTGTCCTAAAGAACTTGCCATGGCAGGGTGCTCATCTCATCTGGGATTTTTCTCGACCAGTTTTGGGGGAGGGGACTGTTTATTCTGGCAATTTTGGAGCGCTTGGGGGTGGGTGTGGTTCCAGCGTGAGGGAAGAGGCAGCGCACGCTACCTTTAGCTTTTAGCTAGTGCGCCTTTATAGGGCGCTCGTTTCTGTTAACGGGACGGTGCGCCCCGCTCGTATAATGGTGGGGGAAACAGTCATCACTAAAAGCAGAATGTTTACCGAATTATCTGTGATTAAACCTTTAGCATATCAAACACTGTTTACCCAACTGCATTTATAATATGAAGTGCAGTCTAGCGGTGTCAGTCGTGTACATAAAACAGGTCTCTCTTGTAAATGAGTCCTCGTGGCTCAATGAGACTAACCTCTATAAATAAAGGTTGAATGACCATTAAGGCAGTAATCCGTGTACAAAGCTGCTCACATTAACCAGCCATCACTTTAAGTTCCTGCTTGTCACCCATCCCCCTCAGTTCTTCGCTCATGTCATGTTGGTTATGAAATATTCACTAAGCAGCTATCAAGTGCAGCATCTTAAAATCGCATCTCTTCACATTTCCTCATGGATTTCTCATTTCTGTGAATATTTTCTGGACTTGTTCGCAACAGCTCAAAAAGTCCCACTGAGCTCAGATGTGAAAAGGACATCATGTGTTGCATATTTGTGCTTTTGGGAAGACTTCAAAGATCAGCTGAAACCTACATGTGTATTTATCCGTTACATGCATGTCTGTGCTTGTCTGCATGTGCAGCCTATAACCCCTTGAATAATTGCACTCACAGTTCATCTCTTTGTCTCTGCGACAGCACCATGGTGCCTGCTGTTTTCTCCCTCTCAGGGAGGTGAGGATGAGGTGATGTAGTGGGGGTCTGACTGGGAAGCGTGTGGTGAGGAGGAGTCTGATCCGTTGGAGGCTCGAAGGTGGTGAAGGAAGAGCCACGCAGGAGGAGGTGAACTACAGAGACAACTGATCACCAGGATGAGACTCCACAAGCGTCTGCACGGGTCCAAGTATCACTCCCTAATGCCACGTGTCCATCACCTGATGAAGAAAAGAGTTGTTTTATGTTTTTAAGCAGAGGAAAGATACAAGAAGTCCTTTAAATGTCATTTTTGGTTTCTTAGTTATGAAGTTTCCAATAAACTACTTTGTTAAAATGTAAATGAAAACAAGACCAAAGCATTTACAACTTTAACATGATTTTGTGCAAAAAGCATTTTATAAAACAATGTTGTAAAAAGTGATTTTATTAAAATATTTAAAAGGGTTGTCTGAAATTTAAAAGGCACTGAATAGGAACTCAAAGTAATACTTTTATTTTATTGTTTATTTATTTATTATTTATTTAGCTAGAAATAAAAATAAAAAAACCCAGAAGTTTAGTTAAGGATGGGTATTTTAAGCAAGATTACTATTCAAACATCTTCTGCAAACCTACACTTTCAGTTTTAATTCCAAATTGATTAGCAGTACTTGCTCACAACTGGAACACTCCAACAACTAGAAGCCAACCAAAGCATTAGCACTAAGTTTCTTAGCAGACAGACCAGACAACACAAATTGTGTGCGAGTGTGTGAGACAGAGACACACAGACAGAGACACACAGACTGAGACACACAGACTGAGACACACAGACAGACAGAGCTAAAGAGACCACAAGTGCAATGTGAGAAAAGACAGACTGAAGGTTTGGTCAAAAATATTTCCACAAAATGGCAGCACAGATCATTCATCCATTGTCTTATGCCTACTCCTTCCTGTTAGGGTCAAGGGGGTCACTGGTGCCCATGTCCAACCACATCACCATTATACAAAAGGGGTGTTCCGCCCCGTCAACAGAACCGAGCACCCTGCCTACCAACACCCATATGCCCCTTTTCCATTAGTACCGGTACGGCCCGGCTCTACTCTACTCGGTACGGTACAGGTTGTGTTTCCATTATGCTTTCAGTTCCAGTGGGCGGGGTTCAAACTGACGTCACGGCCTCTCACCAGCTGGTGGCGCTGAGACGTGTGTATATATATATATATATATACATATATAGATATTATTTTTCTCTTTAATTTTACTCATTGATTGTTGTTGTTGTTGTTAAGCACTTTGATAACAGGTTCTGTTTTAAATGTGCTCTATAAATAAAATTTACTTCACAAACGTGCTAGCAAAAATGCTACTGATATACTGCTCTGCCTCTGGCAATCTCTCCCTCATATTGTTTTGTTTAAACATATTGAATAAACTCAGTTTAGCAGTTCTCCTAGTGATTAACTAATGTTTAAACTAAACACAAAGTTGCTGTGCATCACCCTTGATCTCTCAGAAACAAATCTTTTAGTTGTTTAATTCAATTCAATTCAATAATACTTTATTAATCCCAAAGGGAAATTATTTTGTTGTTGTAACTCGTTATCCTCATTTCATTAAGAGATGTTATAGATACTGATGGCTGTAGACAGGAAGGATCTCTTGTAAAGGTCCATCCCACAGTGGATCCTAAGAAACTGGCTGCAGATGCCGTCTGATCCGTCCACCCAGACTCGGCTGACCTCTCGGTTCCCCTGGACTGTAGGACCACTTGAATGCTGGGCTGAACTCCTCCCAGAGCGATGGCCACTCCTCCCAGCAGTCTGCCGAGCTCCTCGTCGCTGCGGACAGACAACTGTAGGTGCTGAGGGACGATCCTGTCCTTCCGCTGTCGTGAGCCGTGTTTCCTGCTAGTTCCAGGATCTCAGTGGTCAGGCACTCGAGCACAGCTGGCAGGTAGATGAGAATATATCCACAGAACATCCTTTTCAACTCATTTGAAAGTTGGGGCCATAGTTGAGATATTATTTGAGCTTTTGAGATGTTAATCAGCTGCTGTTGTTGTAGAAAACAGCATTGTTGCCATGGTTACGCATCATAACAAATGTCCACAACTTAAAAAGTTTCAGTAAAAATCCTTCCGGCTGCACAGCATCTGATACCAGAGGAAACAATCATCCAAAAAATATGATTTACATCCAGAAAATCAGGAATTAAAGTTTCCAAAAGCAAAATCTCAAAATGAAAGTAACAGAGCTGCTCCAACATGCTGCCACCTTGAGCGGCGCAATCGATGGGGACTGGAATGGGGTAGAGGTATGGCAGCAGACTTGGGACCAGAAAGTCGCAGTTCGACTCCCAGTTATTCCCACATGTCGTGGTGTCTCTGAGCAAGATGCCCAACCACTAACTGCTCCCCGGGTGCTCAATAGCTGCCCACTGCTCCACCTGGGTGTATCCCAGGTGCAATGGGTTAAATGCAGAGAAGCAATCTCATCATTGTATGGGAACATACAATGATGCCAACATATAGCATACTTAGAGACAGGATGGTCACACAGGTCATCACTTCACATTATTGAGACATGATGCCAGCTTACCATTTAACACAGGCCACCTTTTCACAGGGCACATATTAAATGGTAATGTGTGCCCATGTTCTCGTGTTCCATGGGTTCAACTTGACCCTACTCAGGTTGACTTCTGGCGATTTGCCACGGTCCTTATATTCAATGGTTCTGCACCACACCTCACTAGTTAAGGGCCTTGCCACTGCTGGTTGCCATCCCCACTCCGCCCTGTTAATGGGACCATCCCTTTCGTGATTCCAAGTTAACTGCTCCGAGGTGACAATTTTGACACAAGCAGACAGCAGCCGTTAAATGACCAGCGGAGCTACATCACTGGATGACCCGCCCAACAAAACTGCAAAATACATCTGAATCGCAATTTCCTCTCCGATTGTTGCAGTGTGGGCTATTTTTTCCCTTCCAATTTTTAGTTCAGTATGGGAGCTTCAAAATTAATTCTGTTGACCAATGACAAGGTCCAGACCTTTCTGTCTTTATTGGTAGATCAGAGAACCCAACCCCCTTTGTTATTTGCAGTGACAATACTGCTCACTTTGCACTGACGATCCCGCCTACAGAGCAAGGAAATAAGTCAGTGGCAATTCACCTATATTTGAAAAGAACCAATAAGATGCAAACTGACTTAAGTCACATTTAAAGTGGAAAAGTGGCTTAAGTGCATGTTCAGGGTCTGTCCATTGGGTGTTCCCATCAACTTTCAGTAGGAGGCAGAGGATGGCGAGTGTTTTGCGACTTTGACCTATTCAGTAAGTTGTGGTAAGTTTCAGGCGGCCATGCTATGAGGACCTGCCCATGTCGAAGCAGCACACAGTTATATAGAAAACTACAAAGACTGCAAAACCGAGTCGGATCGAAAAAAGGAGAAAAGCGTGATGCTGAGACTGGACAATGAAAAGATCACTGTCGATCGTTCTGCTCTGTTGCTACCTCACTTCACGACACAAAGTCAAACTGGTGATGGGTTGGCTTCAACCCCATTCAGAAATTACTTTGTGGCAGCCAGAAGAGTCAGAAGATGCAGGACCCGACTTGACGGGTTTTATGAAAGAGCCTATAGCGTAAGATGACTTGTAGAATGATGTTTGTGATGTTACTGTTGATTGGTGTGTTTTGTTCACTAATTAGATTTTGATTTATTTTTCTTGACATGTGAAATGAAATCTCATCTACAATGATGTTTTAAAGTTTGTGAACCCTTAGGGAGTTTTTATATTTCTGCATAAATATGACCTAAAACATCCGATTTTCACACAAGTCCTAAAAGTAGATGGAGAATCCAGTTAAACAAGAAAGACAAAAACATTATATACTTGGTCATTTATTTATTGAGGAAAATTATCCAATATTACATATTTGAGTGTCAAAAGTACATGTGAACATCTAGGATTATCAAATAATTTGAAGGTGAAATTAGAGTCTGGTATTTTCAATCAATGGGTTGACAATCAGGTGTGAGTGGGCACCCTGTCTGATTTAAAGAAGAGGGACATATTAAAGTCTGCTCTTGTGGAAGTGGATTATGGGATGAACAAAAGGAGATTTCTGAAAACCTCAGAAAAAGAGTTGCTGATGCTCATCAGACTGGAAAACATTACAAAACCATCTCTAAAGAGTTTGGACTCCACCAATCCACTGTCAGACAAATTGTGGACAAATGGAGGAAATTCAAGCCCATTTTTACCCTCCCCAGGACTGGTCGACCAACAAAGATCACTCCAAGGGAAAGGCAATTGGCGATGTCATAAAAGACCCCAGGGTAACTTCTAAGCAACTGAAGGCCTCTCTCACATTGGCTAATGTTAATGTTCATGAGTCCATCTGAGAACACTGAACAACAATGGTGTGCATGGCAGGGTTGCAAGGAGAAAGACACTGCTCTCCAAAAAAAACATTGCTCATCTGCAGTTTGCTAAAGATCACATGGACAAGCCAGAAGGCTACTGGAAGAATGTTTTGTGGACGGATGACTGAGACCAAAATAGAATTTTGGTTTAAACGAAGTGTTATGTTTGGAGAAAGGAAAACCCTAGATTCCTACAGAAGAACCTTATCCTATCTGGTAGTATCATGGTTTGGGCCCGTTTTGCTGCATCTGAGCCAGGAGGGCTTGCAATCATTGATGGAACAATGAATTCTGAATTAGATCAGAGAATTCTAAAGGAAAATGTCAGGCATCTGTCACCTAGACGTAAGAGGTGGGTGATGCAGTGAGACAATGACCCTAAGTGGTTCTACCAAAGAATGGTTAAGAAGAATAAAGTTCATGTTTTGGAACGGCCAAGTCCTGACCTTAATCCAATCCAAATTTTGTGGAAGGACCTGAAGCAGCAGTTAATGTGAGGAAACACACCAACATACCAGAGTTGAAGCTGTTCTGTACGGAGGAACGGGCTAAAATTCCTCCTAGCCAGTGTGCAGGACCAACAGTTACTGGAAACGTTTAGTTGCAGTTATTGCTGCACAGGGAAGTCACACCAAAGGTTCACATATTTTGCCACTCACAAATATGTAATATTGGATCATTTTCAGCAATAAATAAATGATCAAAGTATAATATTTTTGTCTCATTTCATTCAGCCTTTATTTCTACAGGTTAGTCTCATTGAGTCACGAGGCGTGATTTGTTTAACTGGGTTCTCTTTATCTACGTTTAGGACTTGTGTGAAAATCTGATGATGTTTTAAGTCCCATTTATGCAGAAATATAGAAAATTCTAAAGAGTTCACTTTACTCTGTTCTTGGTTGCTTCACTATTCAATGTTAAAAAATGTTGAATTACCTTTTATTATAAACTAAACAATTTACTCATTTAACCAGAAATGTGTAAAATATCCCAGAACTCCCCCTTTCTGTTTGCAAGATGAGTAACTGCAGTAAAAGTGGAACTCGCTGCAGTTCAACAATTGTCACTTGACCAAATAGGTCAACTTCCAAACTATTACATAATCATAACAACCTTTGTATAATGCACTAGTTTCAGACATCTGAACTCCACCAAGTGCATGAAAACAGGCTTAAAATTACATTTATAAAAACTGTGTGAATAAGTAACACTTTTAGTCATGGGCTAGATTTACGCAAGCTTTCAAAACCAAAAAAGTGCCTATCATCTCACCCACAAGTAACTGTGCTGTGATCTAGACTCCATGCTCGAGTGGCAACACGATAGTCATAAATGAAAAAAAGGTTCAAAGTCCAATTTATGTATCATCTTCTTATCAAAATATAGGAGAATGAAGTGGTGCCTAAAACCTGAGTGACAGTCTGTCCAAAGTTTTTTCTTATTTGAAACAAAATAATTAACTGCAAAAAATAAACCTTTTCAAAATGTATGATTAGTGCAATTATAATATATAATGTACATATTTTAGCATTATTCAAAAGGGTGCTGATTCAATCAAAACAGAGACTGGGCAAAAGCTTGGCTTTCAGGAGCAAAAGTTCAAGAATAAGTAACTCTTTTGATAACTTGATCATTAGTTGTTGTTTTTTTCTCTCTTCTTTTTGCTTGTTACCATTGCATTAATATTTTAATATTCTCAAATAAAAAGGGCCATTTAGGGAAAATGCATTGCTCTAGTAAATTACGGAAAAAAAAAAAGAAGGGATAATTCTGCCAAATACTTAACAATCACCTCATCTAAAAAGTAATAACTAAGCTGGCCTTATGAGAAAAGCAAATTTAAAAAAATTTAAAAGACCATCTTTTTCTCCTTTCTACACCAGTACTACTTAAATTAACTTTTTGACAAAACCACACACTAAAAAAAAACAAAAAAACAATATTGCATGTTAGGCTGATTGGTAACTCTAAATTGTCAGGTGTGAGTGACAAAGTGAATGGTTGGTTGTCTCCATGTGTCCCTGTGATGGACATGCGACCTGTCCAGGGTGTCCCATCTCTCACACAGTGACTGCTGGACATGGGCACCAGTGACTCCTATGACCCGAAAGAGAAGAAGCGGGTAAAGATAATGGATGGATGGAATTACAAATCAAGCCAGACAGTCCATATCTATAATGTTACACTTGTGTTTTGAGTACTTTTTTATGTTATTATATTTTTTACAATTTAAGATAAACCAACTATTTTAATGTACCAAAACAAGATATTGAAGCATGAATTGTACAATTTTGTTTAGCGTGCAAGCCGCTGGGTCAACAGGTGTCTGACAGCACAAACTGAACCACATGGTAGAGTTCACAAACAATTTAGATGTAACATTTCATCCAACTGCCATCTCACAATACTTTGTGTTTGTCTAATTAATGATGTTTCACAATATATACATTTTAATTTTATTTTGCGTTTTAATAGTGGCCTGCAAATCTCAGAATAAAAGGTTAATTGTGCAACAAGTGTTTTTGAGAGAATATCCAAACAGCTGTAACATACTCCCAGAATAAATCAATTGTACACCTTATTGGTGATTATTAATTAAAAATAAGCGTAGTTCTTCCAAAAATTGAAGAGATGTACATTATAATGAACATCCAACACTACTGAAACAAAGTGGAGAAAAGATGTGTATAGCATAACTTTGACGTGGGCAAAATTTTGAAAATTCAGATTATTTTTGTAGCGATGGTGTAAAGGTTCTCCATTCTTAAATCCCTGATCATTATCGGCAATGTTTTGTTCTGAATACTTAGTGGTCGCTATGAAGGCTAATCAGGGAACAAGTACAAGGAAAAATATTACCGGTAAATATTTCTCATCTCTTTAGAAACAAGCTTTATAATTTTTTTTTAAATTATTTTACTTCCAGGTTAAACACACTAAACACCAAATAAAAAAAAGACAACTTACACTGAACTGTTAACACCATCAATTTAACAAGCACATTAAGCAAGCCGTGTTGTTCACACCCTGAGGGTTGGTTTAGCCAAAGGGAAAACAGTCCTCTCATTTGTGTGCATGTAGAGACAGGCCAAGTGAAATTAATGATATTTGTGCTGAAGACGATATACACTAATGTGACCGCAACGTCAGTTTTCCTGTGCCAATCTATTCAAAACCAAACACAATAAAATGTAAAAGATAAAGACCAAACTATCCAAATATCTTTGTTTTCCAAACTAGTTGATCTGAATCTTGGACAAACTTTCTAGACTAATTTGTGTTTTGGAAATTGTATGAAAGTCAAACTTGTTGCCTGCCAGTGAGAACTTCAATTAATAACAATTATCTGTTATTTGAACGCTTGCCATGCTGTAAAAAACAATGTGCTTTTCAATAAATAAAGATGGAAAGGCTCATCTGTATTGCCCTGATTTAAGGGCGAGACATTCTTGAAAGTGGACATTCAGGTACTTGGTCACGTGAACATACTGTTCAAGGAGGCTGACATATTGGTCTGGGGGAAAGTTGACACAATAGTGAGACGTTGTCGTGTGAATGACTGCACATCTAAAAGAAACATCCAAACAGAAAATGTTTAATTTTTTCCATCTGCAAGACCGAGAAGGGAAAGCTGCTGTAGGCACACTTTGGTCACAATGTAACACACATACATCTGTTTGACACATTTTAATCACCGTTATTTTTTGTTACTTTAAGTATATATGTAATGATTATCTACAGGTCTGTACTTCTCTATTGTGAATATAAACCTAACATATATATAACCAAACCGTTAACTTACAAACTGCTGAAAACAGAGATGGGGCGAGTTAACAGAGCATTTTATATAATCATGGCTCAGTTGGTAGACCTGACGCCTCTCAGCAAGAAAGTCGCCGGATCGGATCCCGGCCGGGGAGCCATTCGGGGTGGAGTTTAAATGTTCTCTCCGTGCATGAGCAGGTTTTCTCCGGGTACTCCGGTTTCCTCCAACACACCAAAAACATGCATGTTAGGCTGATTGGCAACTCTAAACTGTCCCTAGGTGTGAGTGAGAGAGTGAATGTTGTCTCGTTTGTCTTTATGTGTCCTCGTGATGGACTGGAAACCTGTCCAGGGTACCCCGCCTCTCGCAGTACGCTGAATATATTAAATATTAACATTTACTGAAAAGCTTTACATCTGTAATTATTAGAAAATACGTCTTACGTGGACGCTTTAGTGCAGGTGTATGCATCTTTGTAGTTCCAACTCCGACACCGTCAGGTCATTTAGTCACGTATGCACCAGGAGTTTATCCCTACAACATTCTTGAATATACTTGAAGGAATATATATGAGACAAAAACAAAATAATCTACTTCACTAGACTTTTAGTTTTCCACAACACAATGGTATTTTCCCCACCAACCAAAAATGGCGGTTTACATCACGTGACATATGACGTCACGCCGACTTCGATATTGTTGCTGTCTTTTTTTAAATAGCACGAGCCTGCATATTAAAACACAAGGCAACATGAGCTACTATAGAACTAAAACAAAAATAGTTTCAGTAAGTGAATGAGACAGATCTTAAAAGCTGAAGTTTTACGCATTCCGACAATTGTTCACTTATTCTTGGTCTCCACCCTACTCCGATTTGCAATTCATAGTAATAACTTGCAGTATGCTTGATAACATAAATTAGCTTAAGACATAAATAATGTTTTTTTATACTAGATCAAAATCTCGTTTGGACGGCGTCTTTCTGAGCTTGTAGGGACGCAAGGGCAAAGTTGCAGCAAAGCCTGAGCAACGCCCTTCCCAGCTAATGTTAGCCTAGCACAGCAACGCAGTCGTGAATTCATAACCAAACAGCATCAAACAAAAGGACGTTTGGTCTCCGACAACTGTGGCAGCTCATTAACAAAGCACATCTTAATAATAAACTCGCGCTCACGTTTTACCTGACATCAGGGGAAAAACATGCAGTTTGATTAACGGCTTGATGAAAAAGACAGAATCAAGGACAGCACTGAAGTAACAGTTAAGAGTGTCATAATAAAGCAACATGGTTCACAATAAATGCAGGATTAAAGCGACAATTTTTCAAATGTTAGCCTTTGACTGTAACAGCACCTGTTTATCTCTTTCGCTCAGAACTTCCATAAAAAGGTGTAGCTAGCACTACAATTCACAACAAGTGCCTCATGCGACTCATGTATGGATCGAAAAGTACAAGGATTTAGTGTTTAAAACACAGTTTAATTCAGTATATTTGAATACCATAACTGTGTCGTCTTGGTAACGTTCAGTCAAAACGATAGTGCTTTCTAACAATGACAACTTTCACCTCTTAGCTTAGCTTAGCACAGCGTTCGGCCTCTCCGCCATTTTGAGCTCTAGACGGGAAAGCGCAGACACTGCAGCCAAAGACGTCGTCAAAAATAGTCTTTCAGAGTTCCAAAACAAAACAGAAACGCGCGCGTTCCCTCTCACTTACCATCACATACATGACGAAACGTGTACTCCCTTGACAGGCGTGTGCTAACAACGGGAACCTCTAAATCTGATGACTTTTCCACATCACCCGGCACGGACAAGCAGTTTTTCTCCTCTCTAGTACCACACCGCATTCGCCCCAAGCTAACGGTCGCGATTGGACGTCGGGGGCGCGCACGTTAGGTGGGCGGTGGCGCGCACAGTGGACGCCCTACAATCGTTTTAGGTTTAAAAGGAAATACGTCAAATATATAAATTACGTGTATTTTTATTGTTTGTTTCAGTGTTATTTATTTGTGACTTAGTCCATTTTAAATGTAACAAAATGAAAAACTGGAAATGCATGTTATCAAAGAAATTATCCACCTGTTACATGGAGAAATAACAGTTGTTTGCTATTTGAATACTGTTGATTGCAGGACCCCCTTGGTTTTCTTTGTAATTTGTTTCCTTAACATATGAAATTTAATTAGATTTTTAAACATTTTTTTATGTGAGTTCATCACAACGACACCATTCAGTATCGATCAAGGCCTGGGATAACAGCTGCTGACAAACGGTGCCAGCGCAAATTATGACAGTGTTAGTTGAAAACCACAAGGAGGGAAACAAGCCAGGCAACAAAGAGGGGGAGAAAGAAAGTCAAGCATGTAGGCAGAGGGTGACAACTTTAAATAAGGGTACAATGACAGGCAAAGGTGAAGAGCTGGCTGACATGATGCAGAGAAGGAAGGTAGATGGTTTATGTGTCCAAGAGACCAAGTGAAGGGCAGCAAGACTAGCAGCATTGGAGTAGGGTTTCTGTTTGCCATTTAATCAACACCATGGAGTGGTAGAAAGATAAATGGAGTTGGGGTGGTCTTGAAGGAGGAATTAGCAAGGAATGTAGTAGAGATGAAAAGACAGATAGGGTGATGAGTCTGAAGGTAGACGAAGAAGGTCTAATGATGATTGTTGTCAGTGATTATGCTCCACAGGTTGGATGTGAAATAGAGGAGACAAAGAAATTCTGCAAGGATCTACTTTGTAGATGACGTGATAGAGAGTATTCCCAGGGAGGAGAGCTGGTGACTGGAGCAGACTTGAATGGACATGTTGGGGAATTGTTGGTGGTTTAATATGATACAGAAGAAGTTGGACAAAAAAAAAACTTGTTCATTCTTCAAGAATTACATAAACGTAAATTTTATTGACAATGCTTTGTTTTTAGGATTACAGACATTTTGGCAAATTCTGTCACGGCATTGATCATGATCAAGCAGGAGCAGCTCATCTTCCAAAAGCAGACAGCACCTGGGTAGCATAATTATTATTTAAAGTGACTGTTGTGCCTGCCACGTGTTTCTCATGGTTGAAATATCCATGACCCTTTTTTACAGAGCATCCAGGTGTGCTTTTGTAATGTTCCCTTTGTCCACATTTTCCTATTATCTGCTGTTTGTGCGCCTCAAGCTTTTTGCTTTGAAAACCAATTTTCCATTTTTTTCATTTGAACTTTTCTTTCGGTTCAGTTTTCTGGTTGGGCAAGCACTTTCTTCCACTATAAAGTAAAACATGTTGCAGAATTTAGCTCTTGACTCACCGTTTGTTAGTCTAACAGTGGAAATGAGCGCCACAATCTCAGCATTAGCCGTTACTTTCACTAATCCTGAAGAGGATGAGAATAAATCCATGTCTGGTCGAGCTGCTGAAGGACACTGTTTGGTGTGGGAAAATACATTCCTTGAAGGAATGCATATCACCCACTGCCTTTCATACCAGAGTTTAAGACTATCTTATGTTCAGAAAACACAAAGTTGTAGCCATTTTGATCAAACCTTAAAAATAACATTATGCATGACCTCGTGCAAAGTCGCAAGATGTCACGCTCAGAGCATGTGTTGTAAATGACTCTCAGCTACTTTCACACCAAATTTTATTTCAGTATCTGTAAAACTGACTGACCAGTTTGTTTTTAATGGTCAGTTGGTTGTGGCAACCTTTCGGCGCTGGGCAATTATAAAGAACTACTAAGTTTACTCTGACTACAGAGTCTAGTTAACATCATTGTGCTAACCAGTGGAGGTGAGCTGTCGCCTCCTGTAGATATGGAAGAAGATTCTGAATGATCACATCCGAATGCCTGTTTTTTTTTTCTTCTTCTTCCTGTTTTGTATCTGTAAGTTGTGCGCTCACTCGAATATGCTTGGCACAGTTCAGTCCATGAGGCTCAACCCAGATGAAGACATGAGAAGTTTCACTAAAGAGGTTTATGCAGATGACATTTTATTTTTCATTTTCAGTCTGATTTGATGTGACAAGTTGCTCTGTTCATGTCTGTTTGTCACCAAAATAAAAGTTGATCCAGTGCTCTTATTGTTGTGTTTGGTTCTGTGACTCCACTGCAGCAATCTTTTCATTTGTGTTGCTCGTACCGTGTTCAGTCGGTGTCTCTGAAGTGCTTTCTGTGTTTTGATCTTTGTCTTTTTCACAATGATGTATCAGCGCAGGGTGCTGCTCTGACCAGACGCCATTGTTTTCATCAGAGTTTACCTCCGATAGCTCAGTGATTTGCTCCTTTTCTGATATTTGATTTGTTGAAATGGTGATCTTTTTAAACTCATTTAGTTTTTTTTGCTCTCCTGACTTTAGAGTATGTTTGTCTTTTGATGCTTGTGGGTCTCTTTGTATCTCCATGAGTAAACGCTCTTGTTTCATTCTTTCTTCCTTAGTTTCTGTGAGTGCTATTTTCTCTCTCTCTAAAGTCTCATCAGTCAAAAGTGTCTCTGTTTGGGACTGAACTTCTGCTTGGACCTCAGCGTCAATCTTTGTCTCAGCTTCTCTCTGACACTCAACCTCGGAGCAAACCCCGCCTCTTTCCTCCATGTTGGCCCTCACGTCTCCATCTTCCTCCTCAGACACCAGCAGACACACCATGGGCTCCACCAGAGTCACTTCCCCTCCCGGGTCGCTGCTCAGGATGATGTCAGGAAACAGGAAGTGCTCTGGATGAAGGTTCATCACGCCAGTGGAGACAGAGAACAGATCGTCCTCCAAACTGCATGTCAGGCTCAAAGAGTCACAGTCACTCTCCTCGCTGGATAACAGAGGGGACTGTTCTGCCCCACACTGAGCAAGAGCATCCTGGTATTTCAAGTAGTTTGACAGAGTGTGGCAACACTGGAAGAGGTTTCCCATGATTCCTTTGGTGCACAAAACTGTTCAGAGACAAAAGAAAACATCAAAGTGTTTGATAAAATTTCAATTCAATTCTATTCAGTTTATTATTGTAGTGAGAAGTCACAACAGAAGTCATCTCAGGGCACTGAACAGAAACATTCATTTATAAAAATAATAATTTAACACTATTTGTCTGTGGAGCAGACTGCTTTGAATTTAACTCCATCACAGAACTTTCATCTTGAGCAAGCATGAAGGCAACAGTGGAAAGGAAAAACTCCCTCACAAGGAAGAAACCTTTAGCAGAACCAGGCTCAGGACTTGATAGTGTATCCAGTTTAGTTTTAGGAATTAGACCTTTCTAAATAATCTTTTAAAAACAGAGCTAACAAAACAAAACATGCCGGAGGTTGTTAATGTCTTTGACTAAAGGTAAAGGAAGACCATATTGTTTTTGCTCATCTGTGCACATGTGTTCATGTATTTGTCTGCTACCAAATATCATGAACCGATATACCAGTTGAAAATGACATTAAGTACTTGGGTTACTACACGTAAAGCTACTAGCCTTTACAACATTTTTATTGTACACATGTGTTAATTTCTTCTTAAAAAAAAAAAAAAAGTAGACTTCCGCTTTCATCTGGGTGACGCAATCCGTTGCCGAGCAACGACCTCCTTCAACTTTA